CCGGGGAATTTGAGGTTGTCTTGAAAAAAAAAAAAAAAAAAACCACAAGGCCCTTTGAACATCTTCAAATGGACTATCCAGCTTCTACCCTCCAAGGGATTTGAATATGTTTTTATTGTTATAGCTGCATTTTTTTTTTTTTTTTTTTTTTTAGACAGAGTCTCACTCTGTTGCCCAGGCTAGAGTGAGTGCCATGGCATCAGCCTAAGCTCACAGCAACCTCAAAACTCTGGGCTCAAGCAATCCTTCTGCTCAGCCTCCCGAGTAGCTGGGACTACAGGCATGCGCCACTATGTCCGGCTGATTTTTTCTATATATATATTAGTTGGCCAATTAATTCTTTTTCTATTTATAGTAGAGACGGGGTCTCACTCTTGCTCAGGCTGGTTTGAACTCCCTGACTCGGAGCAACCGCCTGCCTCGGCCTCCCAGAGTGCTAGGATTACAGGCGTGAGCCACCACGCCCAGCCTATAGGTGCATTTTTAGGATGGGTTAAGGTACTTCCATGACAAAAAGCTATAGCCTTTATAGTCACTAAAAGGCTGTTTGATTTTGTATTTCCAACCTGGGACATCTCAAATTCTTTTATATCAAGTGATTGAGGCACATATTTTACAGGAACCATTATAAAAAAATTCTGTAAGGATTAACCCCTTGCTCAAAAACTACACTATCCTTACCATGCACAATCTTCTGTGGAGGGTTAAGAGACCAACAACATCCTTAAATAGCAAAACTTTCAGGAACCCGAGGTTCCTTGGTCAGAGGTACTCTCTTTAGCCCTCTTGGCCATAACAGTTCACTCCTTTGGGACAAATTGACTATCCCCCTGTGAATTAGTAACTGGAAGGCTCATGCTTTTTTTTTTTTTTTGACACAGAGTTCACTTTGTTGCCCAGGCTAGAGTGCCCTGGCATCAGCCTAGCTCACAGCAACCTCAAACTCCTGGGCTCAAGCAATCCTTCTGCCTCAGCCTCTCAAGTAGCTGGGACTACAGCCGTGGGTGATGGCTCACACCTATAATCCTAGCACTCTGGGAGGCTGACATGAGTGGATCCTTTGAGCTCAGGAGTTCAAGACTAGTCTAAAAAAGAATGAGACCTCATCGCTACTAAAAAAATAGAAAGAAATTAGCTGGACAACTAAAAAATATATACATATAAAAAAATTAGCTAGGCATGGTGGCGCATGTTTGTAGTCCCAGCCACTTGGGAGGCTGAGGCTAGTAGGATCACTTGAGCCCAGGAGTTTTTTTTTTTTTTTTTTTGTTTTATTTATTTATTTTTTTTCTTTTTTAATAGAGACGGGGTCTCGCTCTTGCTCAGGCTGGTTTTGAACTCCTGATCTTGAGCAATCCGCCCGCCTCGGCCTCCCAAGAGCTAGGATTACAGGCGTGAGCCACCGCGCCCGGCCTGAGCCCAGGAGTTTGAGGTTGCTGTGAGCTAGGCTGACGCCACGGTACTCCAGCCTAGGCAACAGAGTGAGACTCTGTCTCAAAAAATAATAATAAAATAAAAATAAAATGGGTTCATAGGAAAGTTACTTTTAGGATAAAATAACACTTATGATAACGAGGACATTGATAATCAAATATTTTGGGAATTTGAACTTACCACTCCTCAAGTTGTACTACCAGAAGAAAATGAATGGCAAGATGAGCAATTAGATATTATAAATCATCAGTTAATTACAGTTCTGAATGAAGCCAGTCAAAGATATAAAATGCAAATACAAACAAATGAAAAGAGAAGGAAAATTATCCGATTGGTTACAGACTATCAAAATGTATGTTCAGTATTCTTTTCTATGATAGACTGTTTCTTTTCTTCATTATCTTTGCCTCAATTTTCACTGTTTTGTTGATTATCTTTCTAAAATTTCTATATTACAATTGTTACAAATGTTGCAGAAATTGCAAATGTTACTGAAAAAATAGAACTCCAACTAAAATTATGTTAGTTCATCAACTGAACTAGCAGCCATAGAATGTATGTAAGGGAGTCTTCTATTGCCCTTTTGTCCAACACATTCCCTTACTTCTGACTGAGGATTTACCGTTTTAACTTTTTTTTTTGAGCCCTAAAGGCTTATAAAAGACATCAAATTGGATATTCTTCCATGCAACTCCTCAAGGCCTTTCACCAGTATGACTTACTGTGCATATGTGCCTCATCACGTCTGAGAAACAGCTCCTAAAGAAATAACCCCAATTGCAATGATCATGTCATTTCTCTGTGAGATGAGGAAACATTAGCATAGAACAAGAGCTTTTCCCATCTCAATAGGAAAAATACGAGCCTTTGTACCCTCATTGACAAACCAGATAAAAACACTTTATATAAGGATGAAGAGTAGAACAAGGGCATTCAGAATTTCGATTTGATCCCTTATATCCTATAATTCTAAACAAACAGGTCCTGACCTTATCAAATCCCTCAAATTATATTATTTGGTCTTCAAAGTCCTCCTTTGGAAGATTTCAACCAAGGTGAAAACTGTCCAGAAAAAAGGAAAATCTGAAAGAAACTTTTTTTAAAAAAGCAACCCAAAATAGCTGTAGGTTGGTCATATAGGTAATAGAACCTATGCCTATGAACTAAGCTGAACTCTCATCTGTGAGCCTGGAGTTTGTCAAATATGTACCAATTTTAACTTTTCCTATCAGATGAAGTATAAAGGCAGGACAAAATCGATCATTTCTCTCTAGACCCCAAGAAACCTATGCCTTTGTTAACCTTTTACCCTATGTACATCCATCACATTTTTTTTAATCTTATATATAATGCCACTTAGCACTAAAACCTATAAATAATGTGCCTCACATAAACCACTACAGGATGCATTCTCAGTTTGTGCTGAGTCTGTGTTCTTAGGCTACAGTCCTCAAACCTGGCTCAGAATAAAATTAACTTTGATTTCTTTAAGTCCATAATATCTGTTGTTTTAACCTTTTGGGTTGACATACATAATGAGATATTTAGGAATAGAAGCCAAGTCTAATCATGAAATTTATGTTTCATATACACCTTATACACATAGCCTGAGGAAATTTTATATAAACTTTATTTTATTTTTTTAATTTTATTTTTCTTTTCACTTTTAATATTTTAATTCTATTTTCTTTTTTTTCAACAGTCTATACATTTTTAACAAATTTTAAATAATTTTGTGCATGAAACAATGTTTTGACTGCATTTTGACTTTCACCCATCACAAAGTAAGGAATTTTCTACTTCTGATGAAAATTTCCAACTCTGGAGTTTCAGATTTTTTGATTAGGGATGCTCAACCTGTACTAGAAAGACTGATAAATCTGACTATATCAAAATTAAGAATTTGGCTGGGTGAGGTGGCTCATGCCTATAATCCTAGCACTCTGGAAGGCTGAGGCGGGAAGATAGCTTGAGCCCAGGAGTTGGAGACCAGCCTGAGCAAGAGTGAGACCCCCCTCTACTAAAAATAGAAACAAAATTAGCTGAGAGTGGTGGTACATGCCTGTAGTCCCAGCTACTCGGGAGGCTGAGGCAGGAGGATCGCTTGAGCCCAGGAGTTTGAGGTTGCTGTGAGTTAGGCCGATGTCACCGTACTTGCCTAGGAAAGAGGGTGAGACTCTGTCTCAAAAAAAAAAAATGAAGAATTTGTTTATCAAAACACACCTTAAAGAAAGTAAAAAGACAATTTAAACTGGAAGGAGATATTTACAATATATATATAATTTAAAAAGAGACTAAGGGAGACTATGTAAAAGAGAGAACTTTCACATATTTATATCTTCAAGACTTTGTTTTACAATGTGCATATATTACATTGATTTTAAAAATTAAACAGAAGTAAAAAATCCACTAAAATTAGATTCAGTACCTCCTCATAGATATTATCTACTGATAACTATTGACGCCTAGATGATGTGGATGACGGACTTTGATATATTAATAGTATCCTGCTTTAAATAAAGGATTGAAATTATCCATTAAAAAGATTTTTAAAACAAACACATAGCTAATTGTAAGAGCAAAAAAGTATGTACACCAGACGCTATCTATTCTAAAACAACTACCAAACAACATTTCTAGAAATGTAGTAGAGAAAACATGTAAGAACACACATGGGTATAATATACACCAGCCCCAGGCTTGCTGTCCCAGCTACTTAGGAGGCTGAGGCAAGAGGATGAAATAAGCCCAGGAGATTGAGGTTGCAGCGAGCTATGACCATGCCACTGAACACCAGCCCAGGCAACAGAGGGAAACCCTCAAAAAAAAAAAAAAAAAAAAAAGAACTGAGGCAAATGTGGGAAAATAGCAACATCTGTTATTTAAATTAGGGGAGGGTCATGATTGTATTTCATTACTTTTTTGGATGTGTGGTATCTTTCATAATTTAAATTTTTAATTAAAATTACAAACACTGGGAAGAAATGCGTGTTGACACTGGTTGTCTTAGGGCAGTGAAAATAAAGGAAAGTTGCAACATGTTCTACGACCACCTCTGCCGTTTTGTTTAAAACATGACACGGTTGCTTGTCTGATTTCAAAACGGTAGCCATCCAGAGAGTCAGAAGATAACAAGGAGCTGAAGAGGGAAAATTTACAGACTCCATGAGCCTGACCTAGGCCTGGTCCTATCTACCTGTCTTTGGAAGGTAACTTGGAAACCTTAACCTAGACAATGAAGATGATTCCCAGTCAACAGCGTGGCCAACGAGAGCTCACCCTGCGAATGAGTTACGAATGAGTTACGTGCCAGGACAAGGGCCTTTCAGGCCAAGTGATACCTTAGGAGGCAGAGATGACGACAGACAGCGTTGGAGACCCAAAAAGAGCTCAGTGAATACTAACTAGTTCAAGGCCGAAGAGGAAGTCCCGGCAACAGTGGGGGAGCAGGAAGCGCCAGGTGATGGCCCAGTTTCCACCAGGCCCTCCCACCCCAGGGGGCGAGGCGGTGTCGGAAAGGTGGGGCCGGCCGGATGCAGTTAAAGACAGCCGGGCTTCGCGCCTGGGTCTGGAGGAAGCCCAGCGGCTCCGAGTGATTTCTGCGGCACCTGGTCCCAATATGGCGGAGGCTGGCCCCAATATGGCGGACGACGCTGGCGCGGCTGAGTCCCAGCAGGAAGAACTGTATCCGTCTAGCATCCTGGAGAGACTGCTTCGGTCACCACTTCCGCCACCGCAGATTCGCATCCGGCCCTGGTGGTTTCCGGTGCAGGAACTGAGGAACCCTTTGGTGTTCTACCTGGAGGCATGGCTGGCAGACGCGATTTTTGGTGAGCAACCCATGGCGTGCTAGTGGGCTATCCTGCTCCAGTCAGAAAGAAGCCTGGCGGAGCAACTCTCTACAGCCTCTTTCCCGGATTTGCAGGCCAAATGGGTTGCTGTGGTGCTCAGCTTCCAGCTGTTCCCTTCCCCGGCAAACATTCCCTTCAAATCTAGCTCCTCCTGACCCGAGACCATGCGGACCCTCAGAGTCTTGCCTTACCTGTTTAGGCCCAGACCGAGCCAGAATTCCAGAAATGGAGTGGATGAGCCAGGCCCTGCTGACGGTGAACATAGTGGACTCTGGGAACTTAGTTGAAATCACTGTCTTTGGACGGCCCAGTGTCCAGTGCCGCATGAAGAGCCTGCTCCTAGGCCTGGCGTGTTTTCATCGAGAAAATCGTGCCCGAGGTGAGAGTCTTTGAGAACCTGCTTGAGGAGGGAGCCAGAGGTGCCCTACTGGCCTTACTCGGCTTCCTTCCATTCTCCCTTAACCTTCTTAAAACTTATCGCGGTTTATAACCCACAGGAAGCTGCTGGCAGTTTCTGGGGAACCCCTGAGTAAGACCTTGAGAAAGTAAGCTAAGATCTGATGACAATAGGTCCATCATTGCCCAAGTCAGCCTCAGCTGGGCTACGGCAGTATTCTCAGGTCCCAGGTTCAGAGCCTCCATCCTGAGAAACAATGTTAACAGATCCTCCTCTCCTCCCCTCTCTCTTCACCCCCCCCCCCATCATGGAGTAGTTTGAAACAGCGAACGTTTTTCTTTCTCCATGGTTGGTATCAATTTGCTTCTCTTCCAGCTGAGAAGATGAAGCACCTTGAGGAGATCTTGAAGGCCCGTGCATCAGGTTCCCACACTCCCCAGCGTCCTAATGCTTAAGGCAACATACTTGTCAGGGGCATTATGACAACAGTCCTGTTTCTACTAAAGATGAAGAGAAGCAAGTACAGTATTTCTATCTCTGCATTCCTTTTTCCTGTGTCTTGATGGATACTGGTTTATTTTGTTGCAAAAACGAATTTGTAAAAAAGAAATGGATTTCTGTTTCGTCCAATGGCAAAGAAATTTGCTCACTTAAAATAAAGCAAATTTATAAAATATTATTCATTCTTGTCTTGATGTGAGGGGTTGGATAGAAGGCTGGTATGTAGTGGTTTTGTTTTTTCTTAGTTTCTACCATTTGGAAACTCCTAATCCTTTTATGACTTTATGGTCAGTCAGACCCTCAAGCACAGAGGTCAGAGATGCAGGGGCAGATAATCTCACAAACGGTGATCTGTTTTGTTTTTACATGTTTGGTTCTCAAACTTTATCCCTTTGCACTCGGATGTCGAGTGTGACTCAACACAGTTAGCAAAAATTATAGAGATTAAAATTACCCTTTGAATGTATCAATAATTTGAAATATAAAAAAATCCAAATCAAGTTTGTATGAAAAAAAACTCCAGTTTTTTATTCTACTGCTGCGTTTTGTAAAATCTGGGGTATTTAAAAAATTAAATCCCGAGTAGAATAAAGGAATCGAGAAAAAAAGCAAGTGAGTGCAAAGGGTTAAAGCTTGTACAAAGTCACCTTGAGAACTTGTTAAAATAATTTCCTACACCCCTTTCCCAGTGATTCTGATTCAGTGCATTGGGTTGGACCCATCATTTGCATTTCTCATGGGCTCACAGGTGCTGCCAAATCGACTCCTTTAAGGCTCTCACTTTGAAGCTGGTAGTTTGGCCCTGTGGAGCCCTGGATGTTTTCTTCTTGGAATTGAGCCTCCTACATGCACAACTGTGGCATTCCAACTTTATAGCCAAGGTAGTTAGCATTCATTATGCTGGGGCTGCTGTTCACTGAGGAAGAGCCTGGATCCCAGGCACTTTGGCTTGTGGAGAACATCCTGCCTCAGAGCCAGCTGTCTCCTTTTCCATGAGGCCGCACAGGTGTCCATCATGGGCCTGGATTTTCCATGACGTATTACACAAAGATAACCACTCTGTGCAAAACAGCTCCTACCCTTGCCACTGCCAATTTCAGGAAGCAGAGTTCATGGGACAAAGAGTGTCAAGAAGTCTGTCGTTTCAGGCTAAGTTGGGATTGGTTTGATTCTTATGCGATTTCTTCACCCCTTGGCAGTAAAGGGTGCTAGCGGTTTGCAAGAGTTTTATTTTCCTTAATGAGATGGTCTGGATATGTTGCCCAGGCTGGTCTGGAACCCCTGGGCTCAAGTGATCCTCCTGCCTTAGCCTCCACAGTAGCTGGGACTATAGGTACACTCCAGGGCAACTGGCTTGCAAGAGTTTTAAACTCACAAATCTCTTATATTGTGCTCCTTTGATTACAGGCAATATTGAACACTTTCTTACTTTGATTCAGTTTTATATTTTTTTATTCCTATAATGACTTCTTTCAGCTCTGAAGATAAGGATTTTTATTTATCTCTATAAATAGGTTTGTAACAGTGGTCCCTTATTACCAATATATTCCATCCTTTTGTGTCTCAAATTTTTGCATATGAAAGATTTTTATTTTATGTAATTAAATTATTTCCTCTGTGATGTCCCTGCATCCCCAGTTTTGCTCTTAAGCTTAAAAACTCCTGATTTCATGCCAATAAAAATTTGATATTCCTTCAAGTTTTTCCTGGTGGGATTTTTACAAAATCATTGAACATTTTTGGTAGGTTTAGTTTTTATTTCATAATCATAAATTCTGCAATCCAGCTAGATGTGGAAGGAAATAAGGAAAATATGGAACCCAAGAACAGCAAGAGCGCAAAGATTACAGGATATTGGGAACAGATGGGGTGGAGGAGTGAAGGAATAGTGTGGTAGTTAAGATAAAACACAAATCAAACTTATTAGAGTTGTCCACAGTCCATAATGGTGATCTTCTTGCTGGTCTTGCCAGTCCTGGACTCAAAGCACTCCATGGCTTCCATGATATTCATGCCCTCCTTTACCTTACCAACGATGCATGCTTGTCATCCAAACCCTCAGTCTTGGCAGTGCAGATGAAAAACTAGGAACCATTGTGTTGGGTCCAGCATTTGCCATGGACAGGATGCCAGGGCCTGTGTGCTTCTTCAGGATGAAGTTCTTATCAAATTTCTTCCTGTAGATGGACTTGCCTCCAGTGCCATTATAGCATGTGAAGTAACCACCAACCATGGCACATAAATCTTGGCATAATTCTGTCAAAGCAGGAACACTTATGACCAAATCCTTACTCTCCAGTGTTAAAAGCACAAAAGTTTTCTGCTGTCTTTGGAACTTTGTCTACAAACAGCTCAAAGGAGATGTGGCCCAAGGTCTTGCTGTCTACAGAGGTGATATTGAAGAACACGGTGGGGTTGACCATGGCTGGTGGCAGGTGGCTTTGGTCAGCATTGGTATCTGCAAAGCTATTCAACATTTCTGACTATTTGGGGGGAAAAGGGGTAAGTTTAAAACTTATTCCAATTTTTCAAAAGTTACTGGAGAATCCTGTACTCCTTCTATCCTTTGTTCACATTAACATATTGAAGTCCTAGCCCCCAGTACCTCAGAATGTGACTATTTGGAGATAGGGCTTTTTTTTTTTTTTTTTTTTTTAGACAGAGTCTCACTCTGTTGCCCAGGCTAGAGTGAGTACCATGGCATCAGCCTAGCTCACAGCAACCTCAATCTCCTGGGCTCAAGCAATCCTTCTGCCTCAGCCTCCCAAATAGCTGGGACTACAGGCATGCGCCACCATGCCCGGCTAATTTTTCCTATATATATTAGTTGGCCAATTTCTATTTATAGTAGAGACAGGGTCTCGCTCTTGCTCAGGCTGGCCTCGAACTCCTGAATTCGAGAGCAATCCACCCACCTGGGCCTCCCAGAGTGCTAGGATTACAGGCATGAGCCACCACACCCGGCCTTTTTTTTTTTTTTTTTGAGACAGAGTCTCACTCTGTTGCCCAGGCTAGAGTGAGTACCATGGCATCAGCCTAGCTCACAGCAACCTCAAACTCCTGGGCTCAAGCTATCCTCCGGCCTCAGCCTCCCGGGTAGCTGGGGACTACAGGCATGTGCCACTGTGCCCAGCTAATTTTTTCTATTTTTAATTGTTTGGCTAATTTCTTTCTATTTATAGTAAAGACAGGGTTTAGATCTTGCTCAGGCTGGTCTTGAACTCCTGAGATCAAGCAATCCTCCCCCCTGCCTCAGCCTCCCAGGGTGCTGGAGATAGGGCTTTTAAAGAAGTAATTAAGGTAAAATTGAGATCATATAGGCAGTTCCTTTTCCAATATGACTGGTGTCCTTATACAAAGGAATTTAGACACAGATATGTGTAAGCACAGAAAAACCATGTGAGGGCACAGAAGGCAGCCATCCACAAACACCTTATCTTAGACTTCTAGCCTCCAGAATTGTGAGAAAATAAATTTGTTGTTTAAGCCACCCAATCTGTGGTATTTTGTTGACAGCCCTAGAAAACTAATACAAAATTTAATTTTGTATTTCTCTGTGTTCCTTTTCATCCATGTGCCAATATTATACTATTATTAATAGGTTCATAACCTCTTAATGTCTAAAAGGGATAGTTGCTCTGTCATTATACCTTTCAGAATTTGGAGATATTATCTACCTATATATTTATTAGAGCTTGTACCAAATACCAGGCTCTGTGCCAAGCATCTAAATAGGATGCTTGGAGCACAAGTAACTTGCCTAGGTCACAGAGCCAGGACAGCAGGAGGAGAGTGGGTAAGATTTGAACCAAAACATTAATTCTAGGATTCAAACTCTTACCTCTGCACCATACTTTCCTGTTTGTTTTTATTTCTCTCCCCAGCTGAATTTAAACGTATTTTTCATTTTTTTATATACAGAAAGAAATTAGAATAAACCTTAATTTGTGAAGAATCCACAGTATTCTATTGAGGCACATGAATATTTTTATAACAGGTTGCTGATACAGATATTTACTAGTACCATATCCAAAATAAAAGTAGCATTATGGATTTTATGATAAACATATCTACATGATCAATATTAAAGATAGGCAATATAGAAAGTATTAAAAGAATTACTCAAAAATATCTCCTGCCTTTACCTTTAAGTAGTTTCCCATTACTGCCAGTATTTTCTGTTAATTTTTTTAACATTTTACTGATTCATTCAAAACTTGTACATCCTAAGTGTGAAAAGATTTATCAAACAAATACAAGGAAAACACAGCCCATTTAGCCAGCACCCAGAGAATAAATGACTATGGGCAGGGAGTGGTGATCATGTCTGATATCCTAGCACTGTGAGAGGCTGAGGTGGGAGGAATGCTTGAGGTTAGGAGTTTGAGGTTGCAGTGAGCTCTGCACTCGACCTGGGGCAACAGTGAGATTCTGCCTCAAAAATAAAAAGAACATTACCAGCACTCCAGAAGCTCCCGTTTTATATTCCCACCCACCTCCAGGGATAACTACTATTTTGAATTAAATGGAGTCATACAGTATTTACTCTTTTAGGTCTGGCTTCTTTCACTGAACATTGAGATTTATCCATGTTGGTAGTAGTTATATATTTTTTTTTTTTTTTTTTGAGACAGAGTCTCACTCTGTTGCCTGGGCTAAGAGTGCCGGTGCTATCAGGGCTATAGTTCACAGCAACCAAACTCCTGGGCTCAAGCGATCACTCCTGCCTCAGCTCCAAGTAGCTGGGACTATAGGGCATGTGCCACCATGCAGCTTAATTTTTTCTTATGTTTTTGTTGGCCAATTTCTATTGTTAGTAGAGATGGAGGGCTCGGATCTTGCTCAAGCTGGTGTCAAACTCCTGAACTTTGGCAATCTCCTGCCTGGCTCCCTACGTGCTAAGGTTACAGGCATGAGTCACCATGCCCGGCTTTGCCCCTTCCTTGTCCTGAACAGAATTGACAAAGGCCTCAGCCCACAGTTTCCCAACAGGAGATGATGCAAGGCATAGGAGATGACATGATTGATCTTCCCAATCTCTATACCTCTTTTTTTAATTGGTAAAATATCTTGCATATATATATTCTTTAAACTATGGGTACATTTTTTTTAGTATGCTTTTTTTATTTGGCTATTAATGGGGGTACAGATTTTAAGGTTTTCATATAAGATGCCTTTTCCCCCCACCCCATAAACTATGGTACGAATTTAATAGCCATAGTGTCCTTTTGCTTAAGAAATAGAAAAAACCAGTATCTTTGAAAGCATCTCTATATTCTTTTTTTTTTATTTTTTTTTGAGACGAGTCTCGCTTGTTGCCCAGGCTAGAGTGAGTGCCATGGCGTCAGCCTAGCCTCAAACACCTCAAACTCCTGGCTCAAGCATCCTCTGCCTCAGCCTCCGAGTAGCTGGGATACAGGCATGCGCCCATGCCTGGTAATTATTTCATAATTAATTAGTTGGCAATTATTTGTTTATTTATAGTAGAGAGGGGGTCTCGCTCTGACTCAGGGTGTTTCGAACTCTGACCTTGAGCAATCCACCCGCCTCGCCTCCCAGAGGTAGGATACAGGTGAGCCACCGCGAGCGGTCTATATACTTTTTACTAACATTTCTATGTACTTACATAGTTTTGGCCATCCGTGGCCAGGTGTGGTGGCTCACGCCTGGTTAACTACACTCTGGGAGGCAGAGGCCAAGAGGATTTGTCAGGTCAGGGAGTTGGAACAGCCTGAGCAAGAAGTGAGACCCTGTCTCTACTAAAATAGGAATTGCAAGACTTAAAATTATAAAAAATAATATGTCTTATTAGAAATGACCAAGACTGGGCCCAGCACGGTGGCTCACACCTGTAATTCTAGCACTACTGGGAGCCGAGGCAGAAGATCCTCAAGTCAGAGTTCGAAACCAGCCGTAAGCGAAGAGCGACCTTGTCTTCTACTAAATTAGAAAGAAAATTAATTGGCCAACTAAAAACTAGGAAAATTAGCTGGGATGGTGGTGCATGCCTATAGCTACCAGGTAGCTGGGGGGAGGCTGAGGCAGAAGATGCTTGAGCCCAGGAGTTCGAGATTGCTGTGAGCTAGGCTGATGCCATGGCACTCTAGCCCAGGCATCAGAGTGAGACTCTGTCTCAAAAAAAAAAGAAAAAAAAAAAAAGGGAGAGTAGACTTGCCCTTTCAAATACTAAAATATTCTATAAAGCTACATAGTTAAGATGAGGGTTAAATATTGAAAAAAAGTATAAAAGTCACACATGGACATAAAATAGATTGGTTACATTTAGTTTGGGTGAGTATAGGGGAAACAGCTTGTAAAATAACCTGACATTCTGGTTATGTGGGCATTTCATAGAACAGTGGTCCCCAACCTTTTGGCACCAGGGACCAGTTTCATGGAAGACAATTTTTCCACAGTTGGGGTGGTGGGGATTGGTGGGATGGGAGGGCAGAGCTCAGGTGGTGATGCAAGTGTTGGGGAGCCACTAAATACAGATGAATCTTCCCTCATCTACTTCTCACCTTCTGTGTGGCCCTGTTTCCTAAGTTTCATTACTTAGGACATCTTTCATGACATCTTTCTATAGATGGAGGGGGGTGTCCCCATGAGGGATGGGGGTCAGCTCAGGTGGTGATGCAGAGTCTGATTCCTAACAGGCCATGCACTGGGGTTGGGGACCACAGACAGAAGAAAACAAACATACACATTGAGTTTTAGTTCTGCTGTGATGTAGCCTCACTTGGAATTTTGATTCTGCATTGATTTGGATTTAAAATGTCTCAAGTTCATTTCACCTACACTTTTTACCTTCTAAAAGTAAAGTCAGTGGCCCTGGAGCAGTGTTCACACCTATAACCCCAGTGCTTTGGGAGGCAAATGCAGTTGAATCCCTTGAGGATAGGAGTTCAAGGACCAGCCTGGACAACATAGCAAGACTCATTCTCTATTGGGGAAAAAATCAGCTGGGCCTGGTGGGTGAGTGCTTGTAGTCCCAGCTACTCAGAAGGCTGAGATTCAAGGATCTCCCTGGGAGACAGGGTGAGACCCTGCCTCTAAAAGAAACATTAAAAAGAAAAATAGGTCAACTATTTTAATACATTTTTTGTTAAAAAATAGTTAACCTATTGTAAATTCAGCTTTACATTAATTCCATTATAAAAATGCTTATTTAAAACTGGAGTGATCATCTATTAGAGGTGACAAAAGGGTCTGTGATAGACATACCATTCCCCTGGTATCTAAAGTTAGGTTTATGGCTGATATGTGGCTCCCACCTATTGTAATCACAGCACTTTGGGAGGCCAGGAGGTCAAGACCAGCCTGGGCAACATAGGGAGATACTTTCTCTAACTCCTGAGCTCAATCAATCCTCCTGCCTCAGCCTCTCAGAGTGCTAGGATTACAGACATGAGCCACAGGCACCGGGCCCAGGAGGCTCTTTCTCTACCAAAAAAAAAAAAAAAAAAAATTAGTCAGTGTGGTGGTGCACACTTATGATTCCAGGGACTCCAGGAAGGTGAGGCAGGAAGTTCGAGGTTGTAGTGAACTATGATCTCACCACTGTACTCTAGCCTGGGTAATAAAGCAAGACTTTGTGTCAAAATCATAAAGTTAGGTTTACTTGAATTTTTTTTTTTTTTTTTGAGACAGAGTCTCGCTTGTTGCCCAGGCTAGAGTGAGTGCCGTGGCATCAGCCTAGCTCACAGCAACCTCAAACTCCTGGGCTCAAGCAATCCTGCTGCCTCAGCCTCCCGAGTAGCTGGGACTACAGGCATGCGCCACCATGCCCGGCTAATTTTATATATATATTAGTTGGCCAATTAATTTCTATTTATAGTAGAGACGGGGTCTCGCTCTTGCTCAGGCTGGTTTCGAACTCCTGACCTTGAGCAATCCGCACGCCTCAGCCTCCCAGAGTGCTAGGATTACAGGCGTGAGCCACCGCACCCGGCTTACTTGAATTTTTAGATGAAAAATGTCATAATCCTAAAGTTACTGCATGTTATTGTTTAATCCCAGCACCCAGCTATTAGCTTGCATCCAGATTCACACTCAGGCTTGGAGACCTACATCCAAGTGCCCAGACTAGCGCTAGAACCAGAGAGGAAAGCCAAAGGGGATAAGCAGCCATCTTTGGGGCTTCTTGCCGCCATAGTAATGGAGGAAAGAGTCCCTAGCACTGTACTTCGCTGTGTCAAACTTGCTAGAAGGTTGGTGATCCCAACAAGACTTGAAGATGTCAGCAATGCACCTGCAGAGTGCAGCTCCAGCCTGGGCTCTCTCCCAGTTCCTCACCTCCATGCCAACAGTAAAGGGGGCAGTGGTTCACACCTGTAATCCTAGCACTCTGGGAGGCTGAGGCGGGAGGATCATTTGAGACTAGTCTGAGCAAGAGCGAGACCCGTCTCTACTGAAAAATAGAAATTAGCTGGACAACTAAAAATATATAGAAAAAATTAGCTGGGCATGGTGGCACATGCCTGTAGTCCCAGCTACCCGGGAGGCTGAGGCAGAAGGATCGCTTGAGCCCAGGAGTTGGAGGTTGCTGTGAGCTAAGCTGAAGCCACAGCACTCTAGCCCAGGCAACAGAAACTCTGCCCACCCCCCCCAAAAAAAAAAGCGGCTGGTGGCTGTGCTGCAGTATACCCAGATGGTCCTTCCAAATCCAGCTGGGTCCCTGTCACAACCAGATTTTGGTATCCTAAATCACCTGGAGTAGAACCACCATGAGCTTGGAGAGGTTTTCGACTTGGTGGGCCCAAGAGGCCTCTCACCTAGCAAAGCCAGATGTGCACAGTTAAGGACCATAAGGGGCACACCTGACTGCAGCCGGGGAAGAAATCCAAAAGGTCCCACCTGCTTTAGTAGACAGCGACATAGGGCCAGAACTTGGCTGCTGGAGGAATGCGCCTTTCCCTTCCCCCTCTACCTTCCAATTAACAGACATTAGAGAAATGCAATTGTTTATTACAACTCTAAATACATGTTTGCAAACATTTAACAGAAGGGGAAAACAAAGACAATCCACGCCATTCTCCCCCCAGCATCTGTGGCAGAAATAGGGCCTAGAAGAACCATGCTTTCAGGACCTGAGATGCTTTTATAACTTGGTAACTGGGTCCCAGGCAGCCTCGGGAGACCTCTGTGTCACGGCCTCGCCTGTAGCCTCCGGAGACTGCTGGGTCCCCGGCCTTCCGGACCTAGACCTGAGTCCAATGGGTCCCACCTTCCCGGACCTTCACCGGAGGCCACTGGGTCCCGGCCTCCCGGACTTGGACCAGAGATCGCTGGATCCCAGCCTCCCTGTTAGCTTCAGAAGACTGCTGGGTCCTGACCTCCCGGACAGCCTTCGGAAACTGCTGAGTCTTGGTTTCCTCAGTAGGGGCCTCCTTTGAGCCTGGAAAAAGAGCAGTGTGCAGAGGCCACACCGGTATCCCCATACCCTCTCCACAAAAGCATAGTCTCCGTGCGGGCTGCGGCAGTAGGGGCCCGAATCCCAGAACGCGAGTTCAACTTGGCCTTCTAGATCCCTTGCAAGGAGAAAACCCTCTCCGGAGCCGACTGGGAGGGTGGCATGGTTGCCCACGCAGCCAGGAAACATCAAGATCACTCCTAAGGGGCCAGAGTTTGCTCTGGGTAGCCCTCCCGGTTCCCAGCACCGGCAGTACCTTGCGCCCGGAGCTGGCGGTGATGGTCAGCCAAGTTCATGACTAATTTGGCTGTGTCCTTCTGGTAATAAGGCCGCCCGAATATCAGGATCTCAGCCTCGCCGTCCGGGTCCCACCGATTCACGTGAAGCAGGATGTGGGACGTACACTCGATGTCCGGAATGTGCTCTCCGTCCGGGCCTGCTCCGGGGGCAGAGGCGCTATGAGGGTGGGCTGGCTCCCGGGGTCTTGGGAGGCGAAGGTGGAGGGAGGAGGCCGCACAGGGCAGTGGCTACTGCGCAGGCTGGCCCTGGGACGCGGCCAGACCGCCAGGGCCGTGGGTAGGGGTGGGGTGAGGACACCGCATTCGCCGCCCCTCCCTGGCCCGCTTACCGAAGATTGCTTCCACCAACCAAGACTCGAGGCGAACTGCCTTCGGATTCTTCAGGAACTCGTGGTGGAACCAGTAGGGTATTTTGTTGAGGCTTCCGAGCACCTCGAAGAGCATCCCTTCTCGCTGCTGCAGTTGCACCAGTGTTGGGAACCGCTTGGGAGTGGCCATGCCGCTGCAAACCCGAAGGCCGAAGGCCGCGCAGGAGAAAGGCGTTAGCGACTGCGGCCCAGCCTGGGCCCTATTTGAAAGGCGTTTAGCCAGCTCCGCCCCACCTGCGCCCTTCTCATTGGATCCCAGGCCTCGTCTCCCCGGCAGCCGGGCTTCTTCCGCCGCCGCGCACGTGCACTGGTGCCCCGGCTGCTCTCTGCGCGTCCTGTCCCTGCGGACCAGCCCTTTGCCTAGCGCGCACGGAGGGAGAGGCTAGACTCGGGATGTGAGTGAGGTATCCGCTGGGAAGCCTTGGGGGTCACATAACCGTGGGCTCAGGAAAGTGTGGAAGGGGAGCTCCAATATCAGGACAGTATCTCCCACAGAGGAAAGAACTGATACTTTTGGGACTCAAAACTTCCTAGGTCTGGCCCCGGGCGTGGCGGCTCACGCCTGTAATCCTAGCACTCTGGGAGGCTGAGGCGGGCGGATTGCTCGAGGTCAGGAGTTCGAAACCAGCCTGAGCAAGAGCGAAACCCCCGTCTCTACTACAAATAGAAAGAAATTAATTGGCCAACTAATATATATAGAAAAAGTACAGGCATGGTGGCGCATGCCTGTAGTCCCAGCTACTCGGGAGGCTGAGGCAGAAGGATTGCTTGAGCCCAGGAGTTCGAGGTTGCTGTGAGCTAGGCTGACGCCACGGCACTCACTCTAGCCTGGGCAACAAAGCAAGACTCTGTCTCAAAAACAAAACAAAACAGGTCCACAACGTCCTCCTGAACCTCAGCTACTAACTTCCCTCCCTCTGAATATCACGTTTTCAGACTCTTCTCTCATCTGTTACCTGTTAAAGACAGCTGAGCACAGTCAAAAGTAAGTGAGGTGTTTTTTTTTTCTTTTTAAGTTTTGGGATCTCCCGTTGTTGCCCAGGCTAGCCTGGAATTCCTGGGCTCAAACAATCCCCCCCACCCCCACCCCAGCCTTCCCAGTACCTGGGAGTACAGATGTGCACACTTCTAATTAATGCAGCCATGAACACACCCAACTACAAATGGTCCACGTGGTTTGGGCACCAAAGGAAATCCTTTGGAACTCTTTTGACGATTCTATTGTATTTCTTTTTCTTGCCTTTTTATTCTGCTTGAAACACTGTCTATTAAATGCTACTTAGGAAGGTGAAGCTACAGTTCCGGACATCAGTAGGTGGGACTTCATCAACAAGCTCATCAGGGAGTGATTCCCGAATTCAGTCAGCCTGGCGCTTGTGCTCTCTCTGGGAGTTCTATAGGCCACGGAAGTACATGAGAAATTGAAAGTGTCAGACAAGGTCAAAGGCCTTAAGACCTAAGCAGAATAGGAATTAAGAGCCATAGAGAGGGCCTGGGCGTGGTGGCTCACACCTGTAATCCTAGTACTCTGGGAGGCCGAGGAGGATTGCTCAAGGTCAGGAGTTCAAAACCAGCCCAACTACCAAAGATATGTGCACAAGGAAAAAAGAAAAGAAAAAATTAAGAATTTAAGGTTAATTTTATCAAAACAAAACAAAAACCAGCCCAAGTAAGAGTGAGACCCCGTCTCTACCAAAAAAATAGAAAGAAATTAGTTGGACAACTAAGATATAAAAGTATATTTATAAAATTAGCTGGGCATGGTGGCACATGCCTATAGTCCCAGCTACTTGGGAGGCTGAGGCAGCAAGATTGCTTAAGCCCAGGAGTTTAAGGTTGTTGTGAGCTAGGCTAACGCCATGGCACTGTAGCCCAGGCAACAGAGTGAGACTCTGTCTCAAAAATAATAATGATAATAATAATAAAATAAAAGACAAGGTGTCAACGGAAAAAAGCCAAGTCTGCAAAATAATTTTAAAGAGATTTATTCTGAGCCAAATTTGAGGACTATAACCCGGAGCCACTGCCAAGAGGCCTTGGGCAAGTGGACTTGCTGTGGCTGGGTTACAGTTTGGTTTTTATACAGTTTAGAGACAAGGGTTATGGGTAAAGCCATCAATCAATGTGTGGGAGGCATACATTGTTTTGGCCCAAAAAGGAGGGCCATCTCCAAGGGGGGAGGGGGCTTACAGGTTATAGGTGGGTTTAAAGATTCTTTAGATTGTAATTGGCTAAAGACATGAAGCTTTGTCTAAAGAAGAGGAATGTTTTAACATAAACTGTTTACCAGAGATAAGCCACCATTTGTTGCAAATTGAGGGCCTGCAGGTTTGTCTTGCATACCCTTAGGCCTGTTAATGGGTTACAAAGGAAGTCTCCAAGAAGGGAGGGGGACATGATAAGGCCTGTCTGACCTCCCTCCTCCTGGCAGGCAACTTTGCCCTTGAATATTCCTCTGGCCAGGAGGGGGTCCATTCAGTCAGCTGGTAGGGGTTGAGCATTTTAGTTCACAAAGGTCTTACTCTGTTGCCAAGGCTAGAGTACAGTGGTGGGATCATAGCTCACAGCAACCTCAAACTCTTGGGCTCAAGTGATCCTACTGCCTCAACCTCCCTAATAGCTAGTACTACAGGGGCACACCATCACATCCAGCTAATTTTTAATTTTTTTGTAGAAATTGGGTCTCCTTATTTTGCCTAGGCTAGTCTTGAACTCTTGGCCTCAAACAATCCTCTCATCTTGACTTCCAAAAAGTGCTGGGATTACAGGAGTGAGTCACCATGCTGGGCCCTGAACCTGCATTTTAACAAGATCCCCAAGTGATTCTTTTATATGTTGAAGTGTGAGAAGCTCTTATCTCTAATACTTCAGGGTGAGTTACTAAAAACCCAGCGAACAACAAATTCTAGTTGATTGAAGTAAAAATACCACTTTACTTTTAACATCTAGTATGAAAGTCCAAAATTCCAGCATCCAATCAAATCATTTTCTCTACAAATGTTCAAGGAACAATTTTGGAAAAAAAATAATAGGTTGATACATAGAGTATTAAAAATTCTTATATCATTTCATCTATAGTTCTCTGGGCATCCATTGTATATAAAGAAATACTGCCATATATGGTTAATGATTCAATGTGTTCTGATTATTTTTTTATTCTTATTTTTTTGAGACAGTTTTGCTTTGTTGCCCAGGCTAGAGTGAGTGCGGTGGCGTCAGCCTGGCTCACAGCAACCTCAATCTCCTGGGCTCAAGCAATCCTGCTGCCTCAGCCTCCCAGTAGCTGGCATTACAAGCATGCGCCACCATGCCCGCTAATTTTTTCTATTTATATTAGTTGGCCAATTAATTTCTTTCTATTTATAGTAGGGACAGGGTCTTGCTCTTGCTCAGGCTGGTTTGAAACTCCTGAGCTCAAACGATCCGCCCGCCTCGGCCTCCCAGAGTGGTAGGATTACAGGCGTGAGCCACCGCACCCGGCCTCTTCTGATTATTTAAAGCAGTTTATAGATAGAAGCCTGAAAAAATCCCTAGTAAACTTGAATTGAATATCATGGAGCCACAATAAAAGCTACTTAGGCCAGGTACGGTGGCTCACACCTGTGTTCCTAGCACTCTGGGAGGCCGAGGTGGGAGGATTGTTTGAGCTCAGGATTTCAAGAACAGCCTGAGCAACAGCGAAACTCTGTCTCCTAAAAATAGAAAGAAATTAGCCAAAAAACTAAAAATGGAAAAAAATTAGCCAGGCACAAGTGGTGCCTGTAGCTAGTCCCAGCTACTGGGGAGGCTGAGGCAGGAGGATCGCTTGAGCCGCAGGTTTGAGGTTGCTGTGAGCTAGGCTGATGCCATGGCACTCTTAGCCCAGGCAACAGAGTGAGACTCTGTCTCAAAAAAAAAAAAAAAAAAGAAGCTATTTAAAACTTTTGGAGAAATAAACTAAATTGGTAGAGTACAGTCTATACTAGTGGAAAATTGTCTCGCTATACCCACTCCCTTGTCCTAGCTGCCACCCACTGCTGGCAACGTTCAAGATGTGGACATGGTCCCCAGGCTAGGGGCTCAGAATGCCTGGACAAGCAGACCTTAGCCTACAGCAGTGAATCAGTCAGTGATTATCATTGCTCTGGTGTAAACAAGTGGTGGGGTTGGAGTGTCTGGTCAGGCTAGACTTCTGGGAAGGAGCCCAGTTCACTCTGAGAACGTTGGTCTTGTAGGCCTGGGTCCCAGCCAGTTATAGGTTTCTCCTGACCTATGCGAAAAGTTTGCCTTTATCTGATCACTGCCGTTCCCCCACCACCACCACCCCCAAGCTAAGGAGCTGCAAGTTGAAATGGCAGTTACTTCCTTTGGAAGTGGATCAGCATCCTGGGCTCCTGCGTGGAGGAACTGCAGGAGCCTGATGGTGGCTGCATCCAGTACATTTTGCAGAGTCCTCTGTGATGCACATCAAAGGTGTTTTGGGAGCCACCCATCTTGCCTGGGGTTTCCTTCTTGTTCCACCTTAGCAGTGAGCCTCAAGTGTGCACATCTCGCTGCGCTCCTTCCTGGAATCCCACGCTGTTCTTAGGGCCTGGCTTAAACTGGCTCCATTCCACAAGGTCTAATCCAGACCCGGCGACCCTCCTCGCTCTGGCACCCTAGGGGACAGTGAGGGCCCGCCCAGCTCCTGGCCCTGCCTCCACCTTCCCAGGCCTCAGCATTGTGCTGTGGCTCTTCAGGAGGGTAAAAGAGTTGTTTCTGGACTGTGAAAGTAGTAGGTTGCCATCACCGAGGCCCAAGGCACAGGAAGCTGGCGGAGTGGCTGCTGCAGGTCACAGCCAGAAGGTGCCCCCATTGCCATTTCCGAGATGGGCTGGCAACTTGGGACTTCCCAATCTCTTAACCCCGCTGCTCCTCCCAGCCCAAGAGTCTCCGCCGCAATGGCCGGAACACTGTCCCCTAAATGGAAGCACTTCCAGACACAGCCACCCTGGCGGGTCGTAGGAATTTGCTTTTAGCGCGGGTCCCTCTTCCCTAATCCAGAGTAGTGGGTTCCCTGACCAGATCATGGGGGCCTGTGCTCCCCAGTGCTTTGGTGCTCCTATGAGTCCGACAA